AACTGGCATCCGTGTTGTAGGTGTCACGTAAGTGGCCATCTTTGGAATTACCCGGCTCTAATACAGACTGTTAATGAGCACTACATGGAGAGTGGCTTGGTCTTTGCACTGGGGGGTCCATCCCATGCCAGGCAGAGACAGACCCCTCTGGAAATAGAAATATTCCAAAATTGGGACTGTAGTTTCGGAGAAGGAAGATCTCTGGATCCTTAGGGCACAGCATTTGAAAATGTAATCACGTTGACAGAGAGATTGGCAGAAATAGACTGGCTTTTAACCTAAAGAGACTGAGACCTACTGCTTTAAAAAGATACAGATTCCATTCTTGTCCCTTTCTCCCCTTCTCCCCACCCTCGCCAATTCTCTGCTTCTATACAGGGATGCAACTCCACAGAATTCGTTAGTTACATCAGCATAAAGCTTGTAGACTGGAGTGGCGAATCAGGACTGTGGTATAGTTTCCATAGACTGTTGTTCAGTTTGAGATCCACCAAAGGACAGATTCTCTTCCCTGCACCAGCCCCTTTTAAGCTAAGGGGAGAAGGGAGAGGGATTCCCCCAGCAGCGGAGCTGTGCAAGGTATTGCCGAAAGCAGAGAAAGCAGACGAGGGGGTGGACAGAGCGCTGTGTGCTCTGCATAGCCCATAGAAAGCTGTGCAAGGCCGCTGTCCCTGGGACTAGCCTCACATGCATCTGGAACCACTTCATTACCTTGAGCAGCCTGGAATTAGGGAGACACCAACGCCATAGAGACTTTCTCCACACTGTCCCAACCTGCTCGGGGAGAGACCTTCCCTTTATGAAATGCTGTGTGGGACATGTGGCAAGGGAGAAGGAGAAAGGGTTTCCCACTGGTAAATACCCTGTTTCCTATACTGTACATTTCTCTGCTAAATGCCTTCCGGGGCCAACATCATGTTCTTTATATACTCCAGCCACCCGTCCATCCCACTTCCCTGTATGTTTCCACCTATACTCCTTTTAATGTGTGTCTGAAACTCCTCTTCCATGCCTGCTGTGCTCTGCCAAGAAGGGACACTTTAAAATCTTCATGATTGATTTAATTGAATCCAGGAAATATCTTTGGAGGTAGTGAGGAGACTAGATGATAAAGGGTTGTATTAAAATAATAGTCATTATATCGAACTGTGAAACATGATTAGCAGCTCAACTAGCTTTATGGGGTGAGCATCCCCAACCAGGAGAATTTTGCATATAAAAGGGACCTCATGCTGTGGAACTAACCACTTTAAAGTACCATTTTAACTGGCAGATGGTTCCATATGAAGATTACACTCAGGGAGAAAGTTTTAAAGGCATTTTAATAGCCTGAGTCTTGTATGAGACACACACGGTAGGTAAGGAGGTATCTTTTATTGAACCAACTTCTGTTGGCAAAAGAGACAAGCATTTGAGTTACTCTTTCAGGCCACATTCCTTATCTAGTATTGGTGTTCGTTCATTTTCATTATTGCCCATTTCAGTGCTCAGTAAATGCCTCCGGTATTCTGACTTAGCTCATCCAGGAGAGCCACCAAAAGTTTGCTTCTCATGTCAGTGTTCTGCAGTCTGAACTATGTGCCATACACCCTGTAGTGCAGACAGAGGAATCCTGAGAGTGCTAGATCCATACTCAAATATGCTATGTTGCGAGCGATTCTTTAATTCTCTGTGACTCCTGTAGGGGAAAGTGAGTTTGCTGCAGTGGAGTTTTTGCACAAATAAATTACACAAGAGGAGAAAGCCAGCTGAAAAGTATTTGTGACATGAATGACACCGTAACAGGTTTGGACCAGGTTTGGATGTGAGAAGCCATACACTGTTGTCAGTCTGGAAGGAAGCCATTGACTTTGATGGAGGCACTCCCAATTGACACCAATGGAAGTGACATCACAATAGAGCTTATTTTGTCTCTGTAGAAATATGTCATCCTAAGTGTCTCAGACCTGTATAGTTTGATAGAGTACTTTTGGGATTACTCGCCTCCCTAGCCATGTGACTGTATCTCCAATTAACATTCATGAGAATCTGCACAGATTGGGAAGAACAGATGTGGGGAATGTTGTTTGGTTTTTGTTGTTCTGTTTTTAAAAATCTCTTTTTCCCTTGATCACCAGGGAACAGCAGTGGTAAGCCCGTTGACACACCTACCAATATTTCAAAAAGGGTTTCAGTGAGGTTGCTGCCACCTCTGTTTTTCATTGTAAGACATTTTTAATGCTCCTGGCATGCAGGGGGCATTCGTTTCATGTATCAAAGAAAATTGAACCATAACTTTCAAATGGTTTATATTATCTCAGGTACAACATAATCAGAAATGTCTGAAAATGAGTTATAATTTTAGTTTGCCAAAAACCAACCAACCTTGCCTAATATTTTTTGAGATGTTAAACAGTTGGAGGTGTAAGTGAATATAACCTGAGGTAATAGAATGTTGGTAGGATACGGTACATCTATTATCCTGTGAGGAACAATCCTGCACTGCCCAGATCATGGATTAGATAGGACAGATAATATTTCTTCTATTTCTAATCCATCAATTAAACGGACTTTGTAAATTACTTTTTAAATTATAATTTTGCTCCCCCCTCCCCCGGGTCATTTGCAAGACCCTCTTAGAAGCTTGGAAGGGACACTTCTTTCTCAATCTAGATTTTTTTTTCATTAAGAAAACACTAGTTTACCACCAATTTTTCCCATGGGCATTATCACCAGCCCTGAAATTTTCATCACTGATATCAGCTCAGCTCTGGGAATAGGTTTTCTTAGCTACAGTGCACTCTGTTTGGGAGGCTGTGCAGTAGCAAAGCAAAAAGACATTTCTGTTCCTGGGTAAAGACGGGCTTTATTTTCAGTTTCTCAGAACAACCGTTTGATGGATCACTGCTTAGGAGAAGGAGGCTGGAAAGAAATGGACCAGGTGTCCTGTTATCAGTTGGGGGTGGGCTTCCAAAACAATGTTTTGCTAGCTACAGTGCACTCTGTTTGGGAGGCTGTGCAGTAGCAAAGCAAAAAGACATTTCTGTTCCTGGGTAAAGACGGGCTTTATTTTCAGTTTCTCAGAACAACCGTTTGATGGATCACTGCTTAGGAGAAGGAGGCTGGAAAGAAATGGACCAGGTGTCCTGTTATCAGTTGGGGGTGGGCTTCCAAAACAATGTTTTGCTGCTCGCTGGAAGCTGGGAAAAAAATTTTGGGGGGGGGGGGGGGGGAGATGATTTTGCAGGAATCTGTTTTGTTTTACATCAAAATGTGATGAGTGAATGTATCAACTGCCGCTTACTTCAATAGAGGAGCACAATTGTGGATATATTTTCAAGGCTCTTTGCAAGCAAAAGGCTAGAAACTGACTTTAAAAAGTTCAGCCAAAAAGATCACCAAACCCTGAGATTTGTGTTTATATCGTATGTCACAAAATCCAGGGGCTGGCTCTGTTTTAATAGTCTTAATTAGGGTGGCACTCTTGGGATGGAGAAAAGAATTGGGCCTGGTACAAAGTGAAGCCTTGTGTGTATTCAGTGTGGCTCTGTAAACAAGTGCGACTTTGAATATAATCAAGCCCCAGAGAGGTGTCCTAAGTGAAACATCAAGGCCAAATCTATTCCTCCAAAGCAGCCTGTGATTCCCCTCTTTTGAGCGCTATGGTGTGAGGACAATGCAGAGCAAAGGGTTCTCATTTCACCTAATCAGTGGATTGTGTTAACCTGTCCAGGCCAATACAGCCTGAGCTAAATGCTGATGCTGTGCATGGTGGTTGGTACAAACCAGGGCTCCTGCCAAGGTATTAAGGTGACTCGCATGGTCCCAAAGTTCCCATTTTATCAGACTGCACCAGTTGGAAGGTGGATCAAAATAGCATATGCCATTAAAAGATACATTGGCCGTGGTTAACAACACTATCGCAGGGGACAGAATGGAAGGCAGCTTTGAGACTGCCACTTCACTCCATTGGGTGCCCGCATCGGGTGCTTGTTGGGGGCATTTCGAAAGCATCCGAAGCACTGGCGAGGAAGTCCCGCTAGCCCGAGTCCCTTAGAATGGCAGCAGCGACTGCTGACGGCAGTAATGCAGCTCACAGCTGCCACTCCATTTTGTTAAATTAGAACCTCATGTTCCAATCAGCACTTAAAGGGGAATTGGGAAATTAGTCTCTTTTACATCTAACGTTAATGGAATTCAGACATCTGTCAAAAGCGCAGTCATTAAGGAGACAGCACTGTGGGTAGGGAATGGCTGTTTCGGAGGTGGTGGGTTTTTTTTTCCCCTGACTTGACTCAGCTAGAAGAATATTTTCTCACCCATTTCCCCTCTCTGCCTTGCCTGCAAATGGGAAGGAGCCATTTCCAGCTTTTCGCAGAGCCAGGGAGATCATCTCTACAGGGTATATGCCGCTGTCTGACATGACAGCCTGATAGAACGACTCACGTTGGCACCGTGCTGGTGTGCTAAAAATAGGGGTGTCAACGCTGCTGCTTAGGCTTTCAAAACCTTTTAGGCTGGGTGGGCGTGAGAGCCCAGACTGCAGCGTTCACACAGCTAACGTTAGCATGCGACAGCTGGCACCTCTGAAAACCAGCACTCTTTGGTCCGGCAATATCCGTGGTTCTGCCGGACCAGGGATGCTCCTAGACCAGAGAACCCAGGAGCCTAAGGGCAGGAGGGCCAGCTGGGGCTGGGGCAACAGGCGGTAGGTTTGGGGGCTGGTGACAGGGAACCTTCCCCAGTCCAGCAAATTCTCTCCTTTGGGACCAGTCAGGTCCTGACCATGCCAGACCAGGGAGGTCTAAGCTGCCTGCTACAAATCTGTAAGCCTGGACAGGGATGCTCACTCCCAGCTGCAGGACAGGCATGTCCATGGAGGCTGACAGACTTTGTGTGGCTTTCTCTCGCTCCGTAGCTCACCGATTGACTAAATACAGCCCCTGTGGCCTAGTGCCGTGATGCAGGGTGATGTTGTATCTGTACGAAGATTCTTGAGGGACAGGTGGGCTAAGGGTTGGGGCACCTGACCTATGGCCCCTCATTTTCCTAACTAAGGTGCCTCAGTATATTAGGTAGTGGGATAGAGGGATACTGGCCCTCCCTCTCCAATGGGTCCAGTGCAGGGCCCTCTGTGCATCAGGCCCTGCTCTGAGTAAGACTTTTGGGATGGTCCCCAAGATACCATTGCTGGAGCTCAGGGAGCTCTGGGCACGTCCCCGATGTGTCCCTAAGCCAGGGAACTTTTTTTCTGTCTGGGACACTGACTCACAGAAAAAATCAGTCGGGGGGCCACACAGTGTCGTGAAGAGAGAGAGGCTCAGAGCTTCCCCTAGGCTCCAGGATGGGACCAGAAATGAGGGGTTCAGGGTGCATGACAGGGTCTGGGCAGGCACTGAAGAAGGTGAGCTCCATCTGGGGATGTGGGCTCGTGGGTAGGGCTAGGGCCAAGGAGTTTGGAGTGGTGGGGGAAGGGTGGGAGAAGGTTCAGGGTTCAGGCTCCAGGAGGGAGTTTGGGTGCAGAGAGGGGCTCAGAGTTGGGGTAGGAGTATGGAGCAATATTTCCTATACGCTGAGTGCTTGGGTGGACACCCAGGAGAGACCCAAGTGCCACCCAGCTGATTAGCAGAGCACCTACAGCTTGTATTTCTATTGGTAGTGCACATCCACACTTGCCTTGGTGCACATAACAAAATTTATTCCACATATGGATGGAAAAAAATAGAGGGAACACTGGTGAGGGGTCTGGCAGGGGATTCTGACCTGGGGCAGGTGGTTGGGGTGCAGGAGGGGGCTTGGGGCTCACATTCCTTAAGTGGCTCTGGTGGGGCAGAGCACTGGGGCTAAGGCAGACTCCCCGCCTACCCACTGTGTCCCCATGCTACTCCCAGAAGTGGTCACCATGTCCAGACCCTAGACAGAGGGGCCAGGTGGCTCTGTGGAGTGTGCACTGCCCGCACCTGCTGGTACCATTCTCACAGCTCCCATTGGCCATGCTTTCTGGCCACTGGGAGCTCTGGAGCCAGCTCTGGGGTAGGGGCACTATGCAGAGCTTTCCTGATCGCCCCTTCTTCTAGGAGCTGCAGGAACATGCTGATGAGCTGGTGCTCCTGACTCCAGGGCTCCCGCACCGAGACTTGCCGTGGATCAGATGAAATGAAGCAGCAAGCTGGATGTGGGCCACGGGCCACAGATTCTCTACCTCTGCCCTAAGCAGAAGGATGGTACAGAGCCAGCAGCTCCAGCTTTATCCCACCACAGGTCCTCTGGATACAGAGGAGTCCCAGTTGCCCTATTAGGACAACTGCCTGAGCAATGCGAAGCACCCACTTAGTCCAAGGTTTCCATTCATCCTGTCTTAGTTGCAGCTGCCATGGAAGGGTATGCTAGCGATGCTACACACCCTTCCTCCTTCCCATCCACCTCTTTATCTCCCCTTTTCTGCCTCATTGCTTTCTCCCATAAATCATTTGTTCCCTACAGCAGGGCCGTATGCAGCTTTCCCAACTCACAGACTGCACCAGCAGAACCAGCCTCGTAGTTTAATTACTTTCTGTCTGCTTAAAATTCCTTCAGGCATTTCAATGGGTTCTAGTATATTTTCAATTCCTCTCCTGAACCCTTGAGCAACAGCTCTTATGTCAAGCAATGACAGTGTTGTGCTCTGGTGGAGGAAGCAACTTCTCTCCATACACTCAGGGATATGCACACACCGATCCACTTGCGTGCACACCCACGGAGAGTTGTAAAGGACTTTGGAATTCTGAGAGGAAGAGCACCACATATATGCAAGATCCTCTTCATTATCATGTCAGGGTCTCAGCCGGTGGATCCATCACTACTTCAGACAGCCATCAAGAGCTGAACCCCCTGTCATATAGCTGGCATTTTCACAACCCTGTGGTATTCTTTCTGAGACACAATTTCGGGTCTGTGGGCTTATTTTGCTTTTCATTTTGTTTTGTTTGCTATATGTGCCCCATCTTTTGTGGCTGTATGATCTGATTTTTAATTTATCTTTTGCTTTATTGCAAACTAATATCTAAAATGGTCACAATAACAATAGGAAGGGGCATGGAGTAGCTCAAGTCATAAGCAAAACTGAAAGTGTTCCTCCTAATAATAAATAGAAGAAGAAGAATTGAGAGAACTCATTGTATGTGCCAATGATTGCTGTATTGACTTTGTGATGTCATATTTTCCTCTAGCTAGTATACAATTTTGCAGTGAGAAAAATTTTACTTAGTAACCTATTATCTTTTTAGCAGCAACCACTGAACAGTAGAGATGGGATAATTGTCTCCAACCAAACCGTTTTTCAGCTCATGGTTGATATTTAAGCAAGGGGGAGTGAGGAAGACCAAAAACAGAGGGGTGTGTGTTTGTGTCAGTGTGATGGACAAGAGAAATTGGATAGGAAGGAACGGATGCAACAGTGATGTCTCCAGCACGGTGGAATAGGCTCTCAGTGACAAGGCTGGGTAATTCGTAACTGGATTGACAAAGCACTGGAGAATATTCAGTAGGGTGCAGCCCTATGTGGAAAAGGGGAACTACATTTTTCCATTTTCCACGTCTGTAATACTATGATGGTTGCAGGCAGTGGGGCAAGAGGAAATCCAGGTTATGGAATATAGATGGAAGGCTATTTAACCCATCACTGCGTAAAGATTTTTCCTTAGCTGCTGCTTAAAGACACACTCCTGAACGTCTTCTTGGCTATTGCTGTCGACAATCTTGCGAATGCACAAGAGCTGACCAAGGTATGTATGGAACGCCTGGTGCTTCGAACCGTACCTGTGCCGGAGGGACTGTGGCATGCGATCTCCAATCTGCAAATGTGACACATGAATTCTTATCGTGTTCTCCCCGGAAACCCTTGAATTTGGCATATGCCATGGAATTGTCCTGCTCCAGCCAACCTGTGGTAGCCCTGAGATTTCTGTACAAGTGCTATGCACCTGTTGCAACCTTCTTTCCCCATTTCCATTGTTTAGGGAGTTGATTGTGAAACACGCATTTCTTTCTGCTTAGTAATGACGACCTGTGCATGTTCATCTTCGTACCCCTGAGCCTTTCTTATTCTTTAGATGGTGATGACGATGAAGTAGAGAGCAAGCACTTTTCCTTCCTATCACACAAAAGGGCCTCTGGCTAGTTCCAGGAGCAATGGGGAACCAGTTGAAGGTTTTTATTGGACTTAATAGCATATTCTGAATTTCTCACCTGGGGAAATTCAGTGATTCGTGTCCTATTGCCTAGTTTGGTGTTTCATGCTCATACATCTCAGCTTGCTGAATCTCAATACAAATCAGAGCATTATAACCCTCCAGGCAGGTCTGTGGAAAGCTAGTTGCAAAAGACTTTTATGGAGTTTCAGTCAAGATATTAACACCTGCATGCCCCTTGGCAGAGGCAAGAGAAGTTTGACATACAAGCTGGCAGAATGGCAGGGCCTGGCAAGAACTTAAAATGAAGCTGACGTAGCTGAAGTAAGGTGAGGGCCTGAAACAAAACCCATGTAGCACAGACCTGGTTGGAGGCCTGAGGACCTCTGTAAAACAGTAATTGGTGCTGGTCATAAGTTGCAAGACCATTCCTAAAGGATGGTACCACCAGCTCGTTAAAAGGACGTTGGTCCCCACACTCCTCTCAGATACCGACCCAGGTTCAGGAAAGGGTCTAAAATGACAGCATGATGGATAGAAATGTTCCAATCGAACCATTGGGTGCAGGGGGATGGGCAATATCTAAGTAATGTCAGAGGGTGGCAACCTGACATGTCAGGAGTGATGTGTAACTTGTTTGCACCTGTATATAAAGTGGTGTCTTGGAGGGGCTGTCTTTGTCAATGATGGAGTCCCATATCACTCCTATCGCTGACTGAGCTGGTCCATTGTCAGAGGGTACAGACGTGTGGTGGACCAGTAAAGTCTGCTGACAACTATTATTGTACTTCATTTGACAATAAACCAAGCCAGGGCACCTTCAACCCTGATCTAATTTTGTGGGTTTGGGAGTTCATTGTGTTGACTACTTGTGCGAGTCAACACCCCACACATGAATGAGCACACATGCAGGCAGCCAAATGTTTATCATCATTGATGGAGCAGACATCCCGCCAGTAAACCCTGACTATTAGAGTAGCTTTACTCTAAAACTCCATTTTACAATGGAACATCCTGAATGGGGAAGAAAACATATACCCCAAGATCCAACATGCTACAGCTTACCATAGTGTTACTGGGCTGCTGGAGATCATTACTGCAGAGTACTCCATGGCTCTATGGACACATTTCTAGCTCTTTTTTACTGGCGGGTAAAATGAGCACAAAGCCATCGCTACCATTGTGTGCCCTGCTAATCAACAGAAAGAAATGTGTTTGTCCATGTGACGTAGTGGGGGTACTTGCTGGGCTGTGGTCACCTCTTCTGTCTGGAGCAAGACCCGGCAGGGAAAACCTCATTATGCAAAGTGATAGAAATGTAGCCGTGTTAGTCTGGGGTAGTTGAAGCAAAATGCAGGACAATGTAGCACTTTAAAGACTAACAAGATGGTTTATTAGATGATGAGCTTTCGTGGGCCAGACCCACTTCCTCAGATCAAAAAAAAAAAAAATATGAGCACAGACTTCAGGATGGGAGGATGAATTTTTTCAGGTCATTTACATTATATGATCGCAGCTGAATAGTTCTCCCTTTGCTAAGCCAGTAGGAAATGTTCCACAGAGATGATAGGGGAAATCTAATGTGTAAGAGCTTCATTAGAATGTATTTATTTTCTAGAACTAGACTAACAGCTGTATAATCATGATGACTGATTGACGTGCTTTCTCTAAAATACTAAACTCTCAGGAAAAGTTACAGTTATGTTTAAGAAGTCAATAGTGCTTCTTGCTTCTTCAAAGATACATCACACCTCATTGTGCCACATAAAGCACATGGAACCTTCCTGCCCTAAGAGTGAGTCATAGCTGAAATCTGAAATAGGAAGTTTTGAGTTCCTGTGCAAAGAAGCCATGGCCAAGCGATCAGAGCAGAGAACCCAGCAAAGGACTTTAGGATGATAGCTTTCCCTTTTCTTCAGTAGAGTTTTATCCTTGGAGTTTTGCTGCCCTGATCTATGGCTGGTGAAGTGGAACCAAGTATGTTAAAAAAAAAATCCATACTGAGGCTTTATGGATTCCAACAGTATAAACCCCACTTCTTATGTCCCCCACACATGAGCCATGGTTCTTCAGCAGTGTGGCTGGCTGCCATTAGCTCTGCTGACAGATTTGCTCAAACAAACCCTCTAAAGTGGTTCACACTGCAGAAATAGGAATTCATGCTACATTAGCTTCAGCTGTATTGGCTCTGGGGTAATTACAAAAGAAGTTGAGTGGATATTCCCCAATTAGTCTCACCTGCCCACAGGCCACAGCCCCTAGGAGTGTGCAGTGTGAAGTCAGTGATACAGCAGGGGGAAGCAGTCATGTGCTACCAGTGTAGCGGCATTTCCCCTGTGAGCAGCCTCCTTACTTTCTCTGGGATGTAACTTATGCCCATCTGCTTCCCTCAGAGGATGTAACAGAGGACAGCATATGGCCCTAAAAGAATAAAAGACCCTGATGTCTTATGGAGGTTGAGCCATTGACTTCCTGTCTGTCCCCAGACAAGCCATTTAACCTCCATCTGCCCCAGTCTGCCCAGTGTCCAGCCCCTAGCAGAGCAGATCTTGGGTCTCCTAGATGCTAATATAATAGTAATATCCCTTTGAGCCATTCCATTTCACAGACCTCTACTGGTTATTTCTTCTGTGGTAAAAAGTTCACTAATCCTTGTGCGTGTTGCACCCACTAGTGAGAGAGCTTTTCTTGGTAGAGCTGTGATCATGCTTGCCAGTCAGTGGCATGCCG